CCCCCCGCGCGAGATGATGGACGGCCGCCTGCTAGAGCATCCGCACGCCCAGTTCGGGGGCTCGCTGGGCGGCGTGGTGGGCTTCCCCTACCCGTTGGGCCACCACCACGTGTATGAGCTGGCCGGCCACCAGCTGCAGTCGGCCGCTGCCGCCGCCGCCGCCGCCGCCTCGGTACCCTTCTCCATCGACGGACTGCTGAGCGGTTCGTGCGCCGCCGCCGCATCGGTGGTCACCCCCACGCCGCTGCTACCGGCCGCCTGCGGGGTCGGTGGCGACAGCCAGCCCTTCAAGCTGTCAGGTAGGTGAGGCGAGAGTGGTGGGGAGGGGGAGAGGGAGAGGAACGGGGTTGGGCGCATCGCGGGAGGGAGGGGTGGATGGTCGGCTACTGGCCTGTCCAGGCCAAACCCTCCTCGATCTCCACCTTCCGCTGGGCACTGAGCTAGCAGCCGCCCTCTTGGTACCCCCTCGAAGGGGCAGAGGTTGGGCCCGCGCCGTAGCTGAGCTCGCGGCGTTCTGTGCCTGCCCGCAGACTCTGGGGACCCGGACAAGGAGAGCCCGGGCTGCAAGCGGCGGCGCACCCGCACCAACTTCACAGGCTGGCAGCTGGAGGAGTTGGAAAAGGCGTTCAACGAAAGCCACTACCCCGACGTGTTCATGCGCGAGGCGCTGGCTTTGCGTCTCGACCTGGTCGAGTCCCGAGTGCAGGTAAAGACCCGTTGCCCCGCGCGGAGTCTGCGACCCGCTCTGGCCTGTCGGGCATCCGCCTGCCTTTGTTCTAGACTGGAGAGCGCGTCCGGGTTCTGAGCCCCCAGTGCTCTCACCCGCCTGGGGGAGGAGGGTGACTTCGAGGCTCGACCGCTCTTGGGGACGGAAGTGGAAAGGCCTGGGTTGGGGTGGAATAGGGGAGGGAAGCCGGGGAGACCAGAGGGCGACCGCAGAGAACAAGATTCTGCGTCCAACCCGGGAAACGGCCTTGTGAGAACCCGGAGGGCTGTGAGGAGCAGCTGGGCTAGGCCGGGACTTGCCGGAGAGCCAGGGAAAGTGGGCCCCGTTCCACGGGGCCCTCGCAGGCGCCTAGTACACCCAACTTGGAGCTTTGGTTTGTGTGTTTACCTTTTGCCTGTAAAATATTCAGCTAGAAACATGTATTTATGTATTCATCGCTTTGCATAAGGAGTGGGGCCTGAGGAAGGGGAGGCAGAAACGTAAATAGTTAACACTTTGAGAAAGTGGGGAGAAGAAAGCCGTCTGATTGTTTGATCCCCCTCGGGGTTTTTCTGGGTTAGCGGGTTCGTGAGTGTGTAATTTGATTTCACTCAGACTGGTCCGTATTCACTTAAAAAAAAAAAAATACAGCGTCAATTCAGTGGATTTAAAAACTCAAGATTAGTGTATGAATAGGTGTTTTCCTAGAGTGTAGAAATCTGCATGGTTTGGGTGACACGCGAGGCGGAAGACCTGCTTTGCACCAATATCTTTGTCTAAAAAGGTTCTTTCTGCCTGTCTTTGGTCTTCTTTCCTGACTGCTTCTGTTAGGAAATCCTTTTATTCAGTTTGTTCTGAGTGTCTTAAGTGAAAACAAGATCTCTTCATCCCCATCCCTCAACACGATAATGATTAATTCTTGGTGGCAAACGGCCCGAGGCTCATACCAAAAAAGTGTTGTTGTTGTTGTTGTTTTTTATTTAAAAAAGGCAGCTATAGACTTGAGGGTTACTGCTTCATGTACCCCAACTCAAACTAGGTTTGCCCCACCAGGCCTGCAATAAAGAATAAGGAGTATCTCATTTCTTGTAGAGGGGTGAGGGGCGAGCTGCTGCGGGAGGGGTTCGGGAAGATAGAACTTGTTGTGTACAGTGGTGAGCAGTCGGTACGGTGGGGGCCCTAGGGCCACTAGGTCGTTGGAAGCACAGAAGGTGCTGGTCAGGAGCCGGGAGTAAAAGGAGGGTAAAAGCTGGGGTAAAAGGAGGGTGGAGGAGGCAGGATGGCCGGGCCTCTTCCCCAAGGGGCCTGGCTGCTGGCCTCCCCCGGCCCACCTGCTGGCTGCATTGGGAAAACTGGGTTAGTGCCTGTCCCGAACCACAGGAGAGGAGATGTGAGATTCGAGTTTGGGAGGGAGACTGACTAAGTCCATCCAGTAAAGGGCGCCCAGTATTCCCTTCATGGGAAACCCAGGAATTCAGTTTTGAACACCGGCGCCGGGAGGCCGGAGACAGGTGTGGAGGACGTCCAGGCTGAAGCTTCGGGCTGGACGGGTCAGAACCAGACCTGATGGGCTGCTTTAGACACAAGCCAGAGGATGAAAGGAGGGGCCTGATCCTCGGCCTCCGACCAGGAACCCTGGGGCCCTCCGTTCGGGCCTGAAGCCCTTGCCCAACGAAGTGGCAGCTCCCACACCACGAGGTGAGAAGCTAGAGCGGGAAGCTGCCTGGGAGGCCCCATCGACGCTCCTTCCGTGTGGAATGGACGCTTGTTGGAACCTGCCACCGCGATGGGCCGCTTGGCCGAGCCGAGGGAGCGCAGGCCTGTGGGGAGAGTGGGGAGACCACAACCCTAGCAGCCCCTGACTGGCTTCCTTTCCCCTCTCCGGCTGCTTTAGGTTTGGTTCCAAAACCGCCGAGCCAAGTGGAGGAAGAAGGAGAACACGAAGAAAGGGCCAGGGCGGCCGGCGCACAACTCGCACCCTACCACGTGCAGCGGCGAGCCCATGGACCCAGAGGAGATTGCGCGCAAGGAGCTGGAGAAGATGGAGAAGAAGAAGCGCAAGCATGAGAAGAAGCTGCTCAAGAGCCAGGGCCGCCACCTACACTCGCCCGGCGGCCTGTCCCTGCACAGCGCGCCCAGCTCCGACAGCGATAGCGGCGGCGGCGGCCTGTCTCCGGAGCCACCCGAGCCGCCGCCAACCGCCGCGGCCACGGCCAAGGGTCCTAACACCCCGGTTGCCGCCGGGTCCGCGTCCGCCCCGCACGGCGAGTCCCCCGCGCCCGCCGCCTGCGACCCCGCCTTCTATCCGAGCCAAAGAAGCGGCGCCGGCCCGCATCCACGGCCAGGTCGGCCCGCTGACCAGGACGCGGCCCCGTGTGCGCCGGGGGCGGCGGGGGTGGGCCTGCCCAAGGCCAGCCCGTTCAGCGTGGAGAGCCTGCTGTCCGACTCGCCGCCGCGCAGGAAAGCCGCCGCAGCCGTTAGCGCTGCAGCGGCGGCGGGGCTGGACTTCGCGCCCGGGCTGCCCTGCACGCCGCGGACCCTCATCGGCAAGGGCCACTTCTTGCTCTACCCCATCACGCAACCGCTGGGCTTCTTGGTGCCGCAGGCCGCGCTCAAGGGCAGCGCGGGCGGGGAGACCAAGGATGCGCCCCCCGCGTCCCTGGCTCACACCGGCTTCGGTGCCTTCCCTGGGGCCGGCGGCGTCCCGGACCAGGCCTTCGCGCGCCGAAGTCCCGAAGCCGGCGCCTCCACGGGAGTTCCCGCGGCCTTGGGGGACACGGCCGAGGGTGGCGGCAGCGGGGACGGTGTGGAGGCTGGGGCTACCTGCCCCGCGCCTCCGCCACCATCTCCTGGGCCTGGCCCGAGTGCGCCCAGCCCCGCCGGTGAGCCGGCCACCTGCGGGGCCCCAGAGCACGGCGCAGCCGCGGCGGAAGGTAGCGTGCCCGAGGGCGACGAGGTGGATATGGACTGA